AGAGTACCTGAAATGAGGCTAGGCTTATGCCGCATAATACAGAGTACCTGAAATGAGGCTAGGCTTATGCCGCATAATACAGAGTACCTGAAATGAGGCTAGGCTTATGCTGCATAATACAGAGTACCTGAAATGAGGCTACGCTTATGCTGCATAGTACAGAGTACCTGAAATGAGGCACAAAGGTTGCAAAGAATTTCTTGCTGACAGAAGAGAACATAACCACAGAGATTCTCTGCTACATTTGCAAAGGAGTAATGAGGAGTACCTTGTTTCTCTTGGGGGGAGGCGTGCACTGTGAACTGCTGACCAGTTCCTGGCAGGGGCTGTCTGCACGGGTGGAATCAGCTTGTTGGGGGCTGCTGCTCACCACACCCATATCCAGGGGGATGTCGTCATCACTGGCAATAAGGAAGATGGGGGGGGGGGGCGCTCAGATCTTAAAGGTCATACTAGCGTGAAAAAAGCGCATCATCTGTGCGTCATTCGAAAGTGGATGTGATACAGGATGTGACGTTTTGCTTCAAGATAATGTTGGTGCGGTGATGTTAAAGAATAATGTTAATAAGGAATGTCACACGTAGTTTACCTTTAAAATAATAGATATTTGAAAACTACGTATTAATTTTTTCTTGTCCAAGCCACTCAGAAATCAGCAATTTCCTTAAATGCTTATTGTAATTTTGGCCTTTTAGTCCAGTAAGCTAATTGTGACACGTACTAACTAGCGATGTTATAAAATGAAATCAACCCCACCCACACCGTACTGGATTGGCTGAGCTACGTGAATTCGCAGGTCAAAGCTCAATTAAGTTGAGCTTTGTTTGAAATCGCCCTGTGAAATTGCTCTGGAACTGCTACCGGAAATGAGGAATCTGATTTTTGTACTGTACAGCTATAATTGAAATGAAAGTGATATTTTTTTACGCTAGTATAACCCAACCTTAACATCGGTATGACAGCTACGACTGCTCCTCTGTGCTGCCATCTTACATTTGGCTAGTCATGTCACAAGACGCAAATATGGCCATTGTGTTACATAGGAGTTATTCTAAGTACCTTAAATGACAGGTTTATGCATCTTCATCCTTAATGTTCAGTCCTTACCTGTCCGCACATGCCCGTTTGTGGCTGCCATTGAGGGCACTCTGACCACTTGACCCTGTCATCCTCTTCCTTTTCCTTGAACTAGGAGTCTTCATAATTGCCTGAGGGCTTAGTGGCAGGGGACTGCAATTGGCTGACCTCGAGTCATGTGGTGGGGATAGTGAATGCTGATTGGATAAAACCATTGCAGGTGATGAAGGCAAAGAGTCTGGATTTGCCATGAGGGAAGAACAGGAACCAATTTCAGTGTCCAGTATGGAGGAAGGCAGACAGACCTCTGCACCTGAGCTTGGTGAAGCAGCTATTAAATGGTCAGATGAGGCAGATTTGCTAGCGACAGTGAGCAAACACTTGTCCGGATCCACAGCTTCTGATTGGCTGGGGCTAACTGGAGGGGTGGAGCCATCCTTCCCCTCCTCTCTGACACTTGGTGGGCGTTCTTCACCACCATGGCCTTGACAACTGCTCACCGATCGACTGTCTTCCTCGCCGTTCATATCCACATCCTCCGGGCTAGTGGATACTCCAGCTCCCCATTGCTGCTGTATATCACTCTCATCGGTCGCCTCCTCTTCCTCCTCCCCTCCATCTTCTTCATCTGAAACACCCAACAGCGAATCAGAATGTCTACAGCAGCATTGTGGACACATATGCAAGGTGATTATTAAAAGCTTAAATATACGGAAGCCCTGACAGAGCCATTAGACTTATGACAGGATCACAAACTCATGGATCAAATGTTAGAGTCAGGAGCTCCTGGGAAACCCATTGGTGGCTGAGATGCTGAATTACTCGGCTCCTCTGGGGACTATATGAAAAATGATGGGAAATGTATCCTACTAAACGTTATTTGAACCCAGATATGCTTTTAATACTTATTATTGTTGTTCTTGTTTTGTTGTTGTCATTCTAATTATTATAATTTATTCTTATTATTATAATTATATTATTATTATTAGTAGTAGTAGTAGTAGTAGTAGTAGTAGTAATGATGATGATGATGATGATGACAACAACGTTATTTAGTGCCCACTTTGATCCCAAGTGACAAACAAGTGAGGAAACCTTGAGCTCAGAGAGTGGAGCCAGCCAGCGTCCAGCGTAGCCCTGCAGCAGTTGGGAGCTAAAGGCCTTGCTGAAGGACTTAACAGTGATATGATTACTTTGCTGGCTTTGGGATTCAAACCCACAGCCGTCGCAGGCACAAACCCATGACCCTTTGAGCTACACACAGATCATCAAGCAAGTATTGACGGGTGAGAAATGCTTCTGTGAAACAATGCAAAAAAAATACAGGAAGGAAAAGTACAGGAAGTCAGGAGGTCTGTGTAGCATTTAGAGCAACAGTTAGTTTACATTTGCCATAATGCCTTCCCCACCTGCTCCCTCCTGTGATTGGCTGGCCGTTAGCTCCTCCTCAATGTCTGGGTCAGAGGATACCTCCTCTTCTTCGTCTTCATCATCTTCCTGTCCCTCGCTCTCTGCCACCTCTCCGTCGCTCTCGCATCCCTCGTCCTCTTCCTCGCCTTTCGTCTCATTCTCGGCCGGCGTGGCCTCCTGTTTGTCGTCAGGTGCCTTCTGCAGGGATAGAGAGACCGGCACGTTTGCTCTGTGTGGCTTCGCAGAAAACCTCACGGCGAAGGCGGTGGGATCGGGGCCCGGATCCCGGCCCCAGCCGCCCATCCCTCGGGGCCCCACCTCCTTCTTCAGCTTCTCCTGCCGCTTCTTCCTCTCCTGTTCCTCCGAGTCGTCCTGGTGCAGGGCGTATTTGGAGACGACTTCTTCGAGCCGGGTCAGCGCCAGTTCCCTGTTGGAGCGCAGCTTGCGAGCGAGGACGGGGTCAGAGAGGGCGGGGTCCAAGGCTGGCAGGTCAGAAAAGAGGGTGAGGTCAGAAGCTGAGAAACACCATTACCCTACAACGTCTCCCCCCAAACTACATTATTCCTGTGACATCATAGGGCTTCGTACCAGGTTTGTACTCGTCCGTCAGGTGACTGCCGAAGTTGAACACCATGTCCAGGTGTCGCCTCTCCTGCAGCCGGTTGCCCGTCTCGCGGAAGCTGTCCTGGGCGATCTGAGTCACCTGCTTTTGGCTGAGCAAGAGGCCGTGCCTCTCGTTGACCCGCCGCACCAGCCGCAGGATGTCCGCATAGTCAGGAGGGTTCTGTCGGGACTCCAGGCTGTTTATGAAGCGTTCAATCTGGGGGGGGGTCAGAGTGCTCATTAGTCATCCCCCATTTACCCTCCATTTCGACTGCTTGCTGTATTTACAAGCCATCTTATCATATGATGTCATAATATTGTGTACGGAATCCCCCCCCATGGTCATGTGGACCAAGAAGAGCCGTGACCCCTGCTAGGACACTGATTTGCTACTGTGATCCGCTGGGTCGGCGCTGTGTGTGCAGTCATAAAAAATTAACCAACACCCTTCAGATTCAGCAATGTTGTAGTATAAATGAGTGTAATGAATGTCCTTCATGCAGACACACACATCTTCCAGAACAGAGAAGTCAAACATAACATCAGTGCTCATCTATTTCTGCAAAAAAATTATAAAAAATTAAGAAAAAATGGTATTATGTCATATCTATATTTTTTGCACCAAATTATGGACAGTAGTATCAATAAGAGTATTGATAAGTATCGGATATCGGAAAGCAGCATCAGTATCGATTGCCGTATCAATAAAATCCCAACAACACCCATTCCTACGTTTACACACAAGCACAGACAGACATACATGTGTGTGCTTCTGCACGGCCTGTAATTGGCTGACATGCTGTCTGCAGCAGTGTATCCCAACCTGGTCCTCAGGACCCACAGATACTGTCTGCTGGTCCCCAATGACCAGCCTAGAGTCACTCCTGGGCAATCCGGCACTTAGCTGGGACGCACCTTCTTGTTGATCTCGGGGTAGCGGGTCCCTGTGTACGACACCTTCTGCTCGATCACCCTCCCCGTCAGAGTGTTGCAGCCCTTCAGCTCGCACAGCTTGTCATAGATCTTCATCATCTGAAGTGGCGAGAAGGAACCCGGAATGTGTCACTCCCAGAATGCACTGCTGTCACATGAGCACTGCGGTAGTGTTCAGAGAGCACGGGGGCCATATGCCGGCGGGGGGGGGGGGGGGAATTCTCCAAACAGATATGTTTTTACAATGATACAATATTATTTAATAGGTTGACTTACACTATCACCCAAAGCTACTTATTTTATAATCACTAAAATATTAGTCACACTTCCCATGTACACAGGTAACCCCCCCATATCCTCCACCCCCACCTTGCGTTTCAGCTTGTGCTCCTGTATGTAGCTGCAATCCTCCTCCACCATGTCGTCCAGACTTATCTCTTTCTCCTGCAGCCGGCGGATCTCCTCGTAATACACCTTCAGCAGGTTCTCCAGGTATGCAATCTGCAGGAGGGATGGGGGACGAGAGTGAGAGGTGATGGGGGGGGGGGGGGTCTGAAAGGCTTAAACATACCAGTTTAAATCATCTATACATACAAAATGTGCAAATAAGTACATTCATATTACATGCATCCATCCATTCATCCTTCCATTTAGGACAGGAGACATAATGACAGGCTTACAATGGGCACAGGGGGACCCCCTGGACAGGATGCCAGTCCATTGCAGGGCACAGTGCCACACAAACACACACACACACATACAGCCAAGCATTATGCACAGTTTAGCAAAGCCTAACTGTGTTTTTGGACTACAGAATCCCTGCACAAAATGGTGGGATTTAAACCTATGGATGGTGCACAGCGGCTACAGGCCCACTGACCACAGGCAAACCGACCTGTCTCTTAGAAGCCTTTACTGTTTTTTTCTGTTCTCCTGGCTCAGGTGAGGTGGGCCGTCCCTCCTGCGGCTGCTCCGCCCCACCGGGATCCCCCTCGGCGGCGGATGGCGCCGGAGTGACCGGCAGCCTCTTCTTGGCGGCGTGCTGCTTCAGCACGGTGCACAGCTCGTTGATGTAGACGAAGGTCTTTGAGCGGCCGGCCTGGGCCCGCGTCAGGCAGCGGCCCAGCGTGTTGCGGAGCTCCACCGAGGCCAGGAAGTCAGGTGAGACCTTGGCGTGCTTGGCCTGAAGGAACGTTATGACCTCCGGGTGGTCCTGCGTGAGAGTCCTGCAGTGCTCCACAAACTAGGGGGGAGGGACAAACGCGGCATAATAAGGCAGAGAAGTGCATGAGGGCAAGAACATTAACGCAAAATAAGACATCTGTTTTAGCTCAAGAAAAACCACATCTGTATGGTGCCCTAACATAAAACAGGCCCTTACATTTCCATAAGTATCACAGGGTTGCTAGATCTGAACCATAAACTCCATAATCATCTATCCTACAAAATCTTTAAGAAGCCCAAGTCTTCTGATCATAACACTGTAAAAATGAAAAATAGGAATTCTGCTGAAACTATGCTGAATTTTCTAAGACAACTGGAGATGCAAAATAAAAGTTGCTGACCTTAGGAGCGAATGACTGGGTGAGGTCGTCAAATCATACCCTACTGAAGAGTGTGTGAGTTTTTACATTTGCATTTACTTATTGATCAGATGCTCTTTTTTTTTTTTTAAGTGATGTACAGCTTAGACACTTTGTCGACCACAGGATTTGAACTGTCGACCTTCTGATCACAGACACAGAGTTCTACCCTACAAATGGCCCTTTTTTAGTGTAAGTGTAACACCACTGAACACTGATATTAGCGCAGTTGTCAGCTGAACTGAGCCCTCTACTGGGAAAAAAGGCTCCGGGACAGTTTCTTCCACCAGGTCATCGGGATACTGACCTCCAGCTAACATCAGCCACCCCCCAGGTCACCATCTCCACTCCCCACTGCACTAGTGAATGCCTCTGGTGTACTAAACTGTACTGGGTTCACCTACAGCCTGGCTCTCTCCTCTAAGGTGTATGGTATTTATATTTTAATGTCTTATTGTATCACATAGTATGCCATACATCTGTAGATTTGTTCTGTGTACAGTTTGCATTTCTTTAAAGTACCGCACTGCTGAGAGGAACTCATGACCCAAGACTTTCACTCACTAGTTCACTCGTTCTATAGATGTGACAATAAAAGCGATTTGATCTGAAAAGACGCTGTGGGAGGTCAGTATGTAACTCCTGGTTTAACTTAGCAACGGAGAGCTAAGAGCGATGAGCTAAGATTTAGCAGATTTTCTCACTCGCCTCCATAAAGAGCTTCTGGTTCTCAATGCGAAGGATGGAGCTGTCTTTCTGGGCGGAAGCGAAAGGTGACGTGGTGATGTGGGTGGGGACAGGCACAGAGACCCGCGCAGATCCTGAATCGACAGGCAGCTGAGACGAGGAAGATGAGGCACGCGAACAAGCTTTTTCCTCCTCCTCTTCCTCGTCGTCCAAGATCACGATACTTTCCATCACCTTGCTGTCTGCTGCCATTCGCCGCAGGAACTAAAGACGATACAAATACTGCAATCAGGTTACACAATTCTCTCCATATGTATATAACTGTTGAAAATGCAGGTCATAAACAGGAACTGACACCCACACAATAACAAGCATGGCCATATGGTGGATCGATCGCGTGGTCAGAAAATACGGGACGATTCGCATTTTATTTATATTGTATTTATACAGCACTTGACATGGGGCCGTAGAAAGGGGGAAGCAAAAATTGAGCTGCTGGAATAATTTTTACACTGCAATTACATTTTATGCATCAAATAATATCTTTTTTCCCTTCCGTCTCTATATTTCTGCATCAGAAAATTCGATCACTAACCAATATTTTTTCTAATATCACCAATTCCAGCGGTGAAACTTGCCGGCACTTATTAGCGGGATAACGTTACCTCATTTTCTATTCTGTGGAAAACAAAAGATCAATCTATGGCCAGATTTAATAATGAATTATAAACATTGCAGGTCATATAAATAAAAGGCAGTCTGCCGTTTTGATCACAATCGATGCCCCCAGTAACTAACAAATAACTATAACAAAACAACTTGTTCGTCCTCCATTTTTTTGGTTCATAAAGGTCCCATTTCCTAATGTGTGATGCAAAAAGTACAATCAAAAGTGGCCAGGAGTTACAGAAGTCCGCAGTCAAAACAGCCCAGGGATTTGTGAAAAGGAACCAGTTTCAAGTTCAAGTTAAAATGATTTATTTGCCATTTGCACATGCACAGACAGTATGGTACAGTTTTGGAACTTTGTTGTAAAAGCACCTCAAGGTAGCACTGGTGCTTGCGGTCAACCAATCAGCAATGTTTATTGGGCAAGAGAAAAGTACCTACTCCTGAGTAATGAGTAAAAAAAGTAGGTTCAAGAGCTACAATCAAGACAAATTCCTGCAGTGAGAATGTGACAGAAGCTCCAGATTCCTGAAAAAGGTTCCTGAGGTGGGAAAGCACCTTATTAAAGTGTTGGTCCAGTGCAGCAACTATTCAGCAGGAAGTTCCACCAGTATACTCACAGATCTCTTCCGAGCAGCTTCTGAACGTCTACTAGCCTTGGTACGAGGCATCTAAGAAAAGAAAAGAAAAGAAAAAAAAAAAACACTGTCCATTTCCAATAATACTACATTAAAGGCCTATCAAATTGTGCCTCAGGAACTACTCTGAGGCAGTAACAATAAATACAACAATACTGAGAACCACTGATTCAGTTTTCCACTTTGTATTGTTCTGCCTTAAAATGCATCCCTATTATCCAATGGACATGGACACAACATCAAACTGCAAATAAGCCTACTTCAGATGATAGCATTTCCCAGGACCATGATGCAATTTACTGACGCAGTTACATATTGAAGCAGCGCCACAGATAAACCAGTATTTGAAGGCACAGTTAATTTTTTAAATGAGCGCCTTAATGGATATTTATTTTATTTATATTTACTTGAGAGAATTTTCATTTTTATTTACCTTTAAGTAATTTTACTTTTTAATTAGCATGCTGTGGCAGTATTGACAGACTTTTTTTTATGTCAGTCATACGTTGTTCAGGAAACCACTATTTAATAAAGAAAAAAAAGAAGCAATTTATGTTTTGTTTCTTTTACCCCCACTTTACCAAAAACGTACCAAACCGTGATTTTAAAAACCAAAGTATGTAATGAACCGTGATTTTTGTGCACCGTTACACACAATTAAGAACCCAGGAATCAGAGCACCAAGTAGTCCAACAGAATTTCTGTCCACAGACATCAACATAAATGTTTATTATAGCTATTCTAAACCACTTAGACAGTAAAGCCAGTAGACAGTAAATTCTCGTAAACCATTTCTTCAGTTACCAAAAGAACCTCTTTTTTCCATAAATTCCAAACACTACTGTTTGCTTTCAGCATATTGCAAATTTGTTGCAGCTTTTGTGGAAAAACTCTGCATACAAATCCCTCCATAAAGCATATTTAGAAAGCACTACTACACAATACAACTTACTCAAGTTATCTAAACTTGAACTCAATGAACACACAACTCTCCTCTCTATGAGGAGAGGTTAGCTGAGCTGAATCTGTTCAGCATCGCGAAAAGGAGATTAAGAGGGGACATGATCCAGGTATATAAGATTCTAACAGGTCTGGATGTTGATCAGCCAAATGGCTCCTTTAATATTTGTTTAAATACTAGAAATCGTGGCCATAGGTGGAAATTAGCAGGAGAACATTTTAAACTGAATTTAAGAAAACACTTCTTTACACAGCGTGTAGTTGGAGTATGGAATAATCTGCCTGCTAGTGTAGCGGAAGCTAAAACCATGGGTTCATTTAAATCAGAGCTAGATAAGATTTTAACAACTCTAAGCTATTAGTTAAGTTCTCCCCAAACGAGCTTGATGGGCAGAATGGCCTCCTCTCGTTTGTAAATTTCTTATGTTCTTATGATCTTATGAGAGGAAAGTACTGTCTGTTAACAGACATCCCACCTGAAACTTCCATCAAATTGGAGTCTCCCGCAAATTGACAGCAGCTCCCTGATACCTGCCAATGATGCACAATGTTCCAAAAATCTGTCTTTCCACTTTTCAGTGGCGGTAAAATTACCTAGCAAGAAGTTTTACCACTGCAACCTGCTGTAAATTCCCCCGTCAGCTATATATGTGGTATTACCATAACACCAGCCAAGCATTGGCCAGCACCCCCACCCTCCCGGATGCCCCTCATTTGCCTCCCTGAAATCAATATCCTTAAGGTGGGATGTCTGTGTTTGTGTTTATCATTTCCCAAAACATGCAGAATATTATCACCAAACACCAAACAAGATCTCACAAAACAAACAGCACAACATATGTAACAAACAATGCACAAAGGTAGTAGTGTTGTATTCTGTCATCTGAAAACTGACTGTAAAATCTCTGGAGGACAAAAACAACTTTGTAACGTTTCAACCAGCATCTAATCAACAAGATACGGTGATTTTCATGTTTTTTTTTTTTTTTTTACTTAACTATGGTTAACCAAAGAGCCAGTTGATGGTCGATCTAGAGACAAAAAAACGAAACAACCAGCCAGTTACTAGCTATGGGTGTTCCACAAAGCGGATAATTTAAGATAGAAGTCATGACTGTGCAATAAGTGTTTAAGTAAGGGGAATTCCTGTTGGATAATCATGACTTTTAGCTTAAGTTAACCCAGCCAACTTAGAAATGTTGCTTTGTGAAACACCCCCTGGTTAGCTAGTTGTTAGCTATTCAGCTAGAAACAACCTATAGCTAGCTAGTAAACAAAACCTGTAAATGTATATTCGGTACATAGCCGTCCTATTGTTACCGAACGCGAAGCAATGCGTTCAGTCTTATGACAGCAATATTTTAACTGACAGAGTAGTACAGTTGTTAACGAAAACAGTACACAAAATCTCAAGATAACTTACCCGCTCCAGTACAGAAATCAGCCTCTGAACTTTTCCAGTCGGCAACATTCTGGCCATCCATTGGCTGCCTTTCAGTAATCGAGTTCTTCATTGGCTACTTCCTTTGCTTTCCCTTGGCTGGCTGAGTACATCTGCAGGAAGAGGTCCCCGTCATTGGCCAACAAAGCATTTCGGCATTTAAAATGACCGATCGCGTTTACGTTTCGTTTTGCCCTGATGTTGTGTTTAATACTAAAAGTGGCCAGTATTACGAAAATATTGTAGTGGACTGAGTATACCCATTTCAAACTATTTGAAACTGCTTGGGTCTACAAATAGTGGATTATGAGTTTGTAGGCAGCCTCAAAAGTCGATAGGTCAGTTATGGATTTTAAACTGTATTGTGCTTTTGTTTCTTTATCAAACGCTTCTGTGCGTTTTTGAAGAATCACACACAAAATGCAAAATGACAAAACGAAGTTTTTTATTACATAATAAAAAGTATAATGGGGTTTACAATACATTTCAAATATTACATACTTCCGATCTCTTCATAATGATGGAATGTGATTTGTGTCATTCTATTTTGGAGTAAAATTAACGCAGAATATAATATATACATAAAATATATTATACATAAAATATTAGATAAGTAAAACATTTTACTTTGACAGATAAAACGTATTAAACGTTTTGTTTCATCTGAAAGCCAAATATTCTGTATTTCAGTTATTTGTAAAGTATGTTACCTGTTTTAAAAGACGTCAATAATTAGGTAAAACCTAGTAAATAGCCGTTTAATCGTTCAAATCCTAACTACGCAATTATGGCAAGCCAAATTGTTATTAGTATAAGGCTTACTCATCATAACTTAATTCTTACTAGTAAAAATATGAATTTAAAATATCTACAATGGAATTTTCACTAGTATTAATGATCATTTTTACTAGTAAGGATTCGCATTATAGAGTTCTGTAATACAATTTTTACTAGTCATAGACATTCATTGTTTTTTTGCCTCACATATCCTAGATTTTTCACTAATGAAAAGTCATGGTGTAAAGCTATATAATTACTAGTAAGAACTCCTACTGTAGATATAATTTAGTTTTTACTAGTAAAAATATAATTACGGACCTCTATAATTACATTGTAGATATCTGAAATCACATATCCATTAATTAAAGCCTTATACTAATAAAAGATCATTTGGCCTGCCGTACCGCAATATGTACGTGGAGCTGAGTGTACAGTATGCACCCTGACATGGACTGGCATATCGTCCAGGTTTAACCACCATAGTTTTGTTAACACAAACACAAAATATTTTTTCATCACCTGTTCTTAAAAATCTGTGAAAACCACTGCCGGGAGTGGGGTCACCAGTCCGCATGCACCGGACCGCGCGGCAGCCTGGAGCCGCTGTTCTGCCCGTTTGCGACGACGGATGTCTTTACCAAGAATTTCAGGGGTATATTAGAGAACCTTTCGTAGATATCACTATATATCAAGTTAAGGAAATTATTTAAAATAAGCACGAACAAAAAAACGATGCTTTAATTTTAACATTTCGAAATTTTATTTGTGTTCACTTAAATCTCTACTGTCTCACCGACTGCAGCTTTAACAGTAACGTCTTTAAAGAAATCTACCCAACAACCATGGGCGTAATTTCCAGGGGGGTTAGGGGGGTCATGACCCCCCCCCCAATAATCAGATCCAGCCAATATAACCCCCCCAATAATCATGTTACCCCTGTAATGGGTGGAGACCTCGACCCCCCCAATGTTCCAGCCAAAAAGTTACGCCCTTGCCAACAACAATGAAAATGTCCAAAAGTAGAAAACAAAGGAAGAATTTAACTAAATTAGGAGTTCAAACTGTTAAAGACAAATTGCACACAACTGAAATGACAGAAAAATGTACACAGATTTAATTAAAACTGAAGAAGTTGTCACATGCTGGTGCTGGGTGACATCCAGGATCATCTCACTGAATGGCTCCATTAAGTCCCCAAGGTTTTGGTGACTCAAATCATTTTCTCTGCCGCCTTCCTTGTGTGCCCATCTACTCCTCTGAGGGATTAAACCCTATACACATCAGTTTACCACATTCTTAAAAAAATAAAAATTTCTCAAAACAATAATCGTTACACACAGTACATTCACAGCCTCCCACTAACACTCTACATTAGAATTAAATTTTAAAATATGGTATTGTGATGTATTTTAGATACCAGACATTTATTCAAAAATAAAACAACTTCTAGACTGAGAGTTGTAGACCATTGTATACCCATTGACCAAAACGGTTTGATGTATTTATAGCAGAACTGCATTCACATCTGCAAAACAATAATATACTGATGAGTACAACAGCACACCTTTTATATGTCAGACTTGTGTTATCATACATAGTCAAAGAAATCATTTCTTCACTGGCATTGCTTGGCACTGCTTGGCGTCTAACTGAATTTAACTGCACATTAAAATGGGGGCAAACAAAGAAGTAAATAAAATCACATATTACTAATCACCACAGTTTGACATGATTAACTGTATGAGACATTTTCTTACAGTATCTCCTCTGCCATTAGCACTATGCTGTAATACATACCTCAGCATCTCCATCCATCTTTGTTTCCTCTGGTTCAATTTTGTTTCTAAAAATGGACAGAATGTGGATCATTGAATAGCAGGTATTAGTTTCATGCTTTGTTTGGAAGATGCTGTGTAGCTTCTGCTCCAGTACAGCTAACATTTGTACTCAGGCTTATACTGGAACCTCAGCCTAGCTGCACCTTGCCTGCTCAACTCCCTGACAGCTGTATGTTTCTAATGAACTGTTTGCCTCACTTGCACATCACTCTGGACAAAAGGCTCTGCTAAATCAGTTTCCCAACCTTTTTCTGCCACGGCACACTGTTCATAAGGCAGTTATCCCAGGGCACAGCATTTATTAACACGTCCTACTAACTGGCTCTCACCAGTTATCACACTGCCCTTAACCTGCTGCTTCAGGATCAAGTATGTTTTCAAAAATGTGTCCACAATCTTGTCTTTTTACTACAGGGCAGTTTGCAAATTGTGGAACATATAAAAAGTCGCATATACACAAAGCTTTTTCTTCAGCTAACCCGCTTAAAGTAGATTCATAATTTAACTATTAATACAGAAGATTATTTTCTTAAATTTATTTATACACATACAAACACACGTCTTCTTTGTGGGGACCCTCCATTCATTTCTGTGGGCAAAACCCTAATCCCAACAATGACAACCTTAAGCCCGACCTATTTTGATTGCAGTCATTCTTGTAAATTTGGGTTTCCCCATATGGGGACCAAGAAATAGTCCCCACAATATCAAAATAACAGGTTTTTATCACATTGTGAGGACATTTGGTCCCCAGAATGTAATATACACATGACCACACACACACACACACGGCACACCTAGCCAATTCTAATGGCACACTGGTTGAAAAACTTGCTAAATAAAAGTAAAATGTAAAGGAAGACAGGAAGATACACTAATACTGATGGGAAGGCAGGTAAACTGGTAAACTCAGTATATACACATGGTTGTCTTACCTTGTCTTCTGAATCGCCGTTACCAGATCCTGTAGGAAAAAGCTTATATATCATAGCAACCACAGTGAACAAATAGCAAATACCTGACAGTATCAAGCAATTGTGTAGACAGATTCATGTTAAGCAAAATGTGTTTGCTATGGAAAACCTCAATATCCAACCAACTGTTAAATATAAAACTTTTGATGGCCTTAGAAAATGCAGGTCCATAAACATACAAAGATGACACCATAACTGAATGAATGGCATGAAAACTGAGACTGTAAATGGGGGAGGGAGTTACCAAAGGAGCCAAATGTCCAGGAGAAGACCTTGATCAGGCCATAGAGACCCAGGGCCACAGCCACCATAGCCATTGAGTCTTCTATGGAAGGGGCGCTCACTCCTGACACACAGAGGGCAGGGGAGGTATTACACATGGTCCCTCATGCTCCAAGGGCATATAAAACGTGTCCAAATTGACAAATCAAGATCTCCACAGTGTCCTAAAATAATACAGTAACTATACACTCATTTCTAATTTATCAATACAGTGCTTCCATCTAAATTCTGGTTTTGGCAATACTACCTTAATTCTACTGGTCAAATGCCTAGGATTCAAACCAATACTAAAGACCACAATTCAGTTTGCGCAGATCTACAACCAGCTGTTGCATCTGAATTATCCTGTAAGGCCTGGTTTGTCTTTTTTATTGTCTTAAACCCATGCATGCATAGACTAAAGCAGTGTTTCCCAGCCCAGTCCTCGGGGACCCCCCAGACAGTCCCCGTTTTTGCTTCCTCCCAGTTCCCTGTCAGACAGTGCAGAGCAAAAACATGGACTGTCTGGCAGGGAGGGAGGAAAGACATGGACTGTCTGGGGGTCCCCAGGACCGGGTTGGGAAACACTGGTCGGCAGATTGGATACGCCGGTTCTCATACAGCTCAGGAGCAGTGCATGTTGCTGCTCACCAACGATGTTGACAGTGGCGCTGACCCTCCGGGTCCCGCCAGAGTGCACCGCCACGCAGGCCAGCTCCCCGCCGCGGCCCAGGTCCAAGCGGTTCGTGTCCAGGTCCAGCCAGGAGCTCTGGCTGAAGGTGCCATCGGAGGCCTGACGGTGACCCGACATCCTGCCTTCGCCCAGAACCTGCACCTTACCATCCGCCCCCAGGAACTCCCAGCGCAGCTGCAGCGAGAGCGGGGCGAAGCCAGAGGCGTCGCACTGCACGGAGACGGACTGCCCAGGGATAACGACAGGGAGGGGGGAGGGGGAGATGGAAATGGAGGGGGGCTCTAATAAAGAAAAAAAAAAAGAGATAGAGAAAGCACATCAATACTGCACATGCAAGTTCCTACAACCGTACATAACGCACAGACAATTTAATTTTGTAATAAAAAGTTAGGCCACGATATATCGATAAAATATCATATCGTTATCATGAATGTTCATGTCATCGATTTGTGAGTATTGTGGTATAGCTGAAGCACTTGTTTTCTTGCATAATTAACTGCTATAATGCAAATTCCATCAAGGTATGAGTCTGTTGTTGCTGTCATTTATCATAATACCTGTCACACACTCCATAACTATTAGTAAAACAATTTGGTCATCATAACTAGAAAAACTCAAAATCATCTGTCATATTTTACTGTTTTCTACATATGAATTTTAGAATACCATGATAAATATCAAAAATCTCTGAAAATATCGTGATATCATTTTTAGGGCATATCGCCCTGCCCTACATTACAGTATTTTATATTGAAGTTGTACTGGTGCATTACTCTTACTGTAAATTCATTTACACTTCCCTACATGATTGCTTAAGAGAGGCAAACATTTTCATTCATGCATGAGAAGCCAGGGCATCGCAGGACACACAAACACACACAATTCAGTTACCAAATCTCTTAAATGTCATGTCTTTGGACTGTGTGAGGAAACCAGAGTAGATGGCCGAACAGAAATGAAGACAGGAAGAAGAATCAAAAGCAGGGCAAGAATCAAATGCTTGAGGGCCGATGCCCACATTTCTCCATGGTCAAATTACAAGCGGATTCAAATAAAGTTAAAAGAACTTAATGTGTCCTTAATGACATTAATGTAAATCATCTGAATTGTTACATGTTACAAAAATATTATTCCATCATGGTTTGAACAATTGTTTTAGTTTGATTCTACTCAATGACGTCCTCTCACCCTGTATCTCCAAGTCCAGAGCCACCTGGGCCAGGAGATACGGGAGGTAGATGGTGCAAATATAGGTCCCAGAATGTCTGACTTGGGTCTCCTCCAGCAACAGTGACGCGTTCCTCGTCTGGTGCAAGGCGGTGAAATTTAGCTCCGCCCCCTTCTCCGAGGTTTCAGCATACCGGTCGGTCTTGCCATCATAGGCCAAGACCAGTCGCCCCTCTCCTCTGTACTGGTAGCGCCACTCTACTGAGAAGCCCGACCCCGAGAGAGGCGAGGATGGGTCTGCCCAGAAGCCACAGTCCAGCGACACCGGCACACCCAGTCGGGAGCGGATGGAGGCAGTTTTACTGAACACAGAGAGGATCACTGGAATGGTAATGTTGGAAAGGGAGGGGGGAGGGGGTTATACAGGGGGGGAAAAGAGATTAACAGGCAGAAGATGTGAAGACAAACCATAAAGGAATACAAAGCAGCATAATAACAGTTTATACCCATAATAAACACTAACTGAACCAATCAATGAACACTATTTACTTTGTCTTTGAAAACAAACACTTTTCAGTTCATTTCTAACAGCTGTCACCCAATGATGGATGGGGATCTCTCGGTACCGTTAGGCTTGTTGGTCGCTGATGCAGCCCGCATCACATTGGACAGGACCAACTGTCCATCCAGGCCCTGCAAGGCTACTGAGGACCAGTCGGCCTGCAGGTAGACTGGGCTGAGGGCCGCGCTGGTGAGTGGAGCTGCCCACTGGACCATAGCCGGCTGAGGCAGGAAGGGATTGATTTCACACTGGGGCTTCTTCACAGAGCCCTGTGGTGGATGGAGAGCTGATCTGCACATTGTGGCACTTGGGTCTAAAGATAAAAAAGTAGAAGTAGAAGTCTTATCACACACAGCAAAAGGTGTGATTGGTTTATAAAACAAATAAAAACTATTGGTAGCAGTGCTTTCTGAACTAATGTAATATAAGTTCAACATGCTTGTATCTGTGAATTTTCCATATGCATTTCAGTTTCTCTATAACCATATAGCAGTGAGGTCAGACAGTCACTAACTGGGTATATAACACTCAGTCGGTAGGTACTGACCCGAGATATGGTATATTCTAGATGGACTGATATCTGCAGGGGGGCGTCGGGTTGGTTCTGCTTCTGTCCTGTCCACTGTGTCAGAGCTAATGTAGAGAATGGATTTCTCCTGGGTCATGGCTGCAGGGAAACCCCCTCCTGGCTTCTCCTGGACAAACCAGCACTCCAGGACAGGACAACTCGTCCCACAGGCTGAGAGACAGAGATGTAGGGCGGGATCAGTATGGGAAAGAAAATAAGGGGATAAAATGCCAATGAGAAATTATCAATTGTTAATTTAGACAGCTTAAGGAAAACAATTCTGGCCCATTACGATTGACATTCAGTCTTTCGGCTGTCACTCATATTTTGAATTTCCAATTTTGTTCGATTCTTTTAATTTTTTTCTTCCTAATCTTTTCCATTGATTGTTTAGCTCGCCAGAGCACAGATCTGACTGCATTAAGAACAGGAGGAATAGGATTATCAAGACGGGAGAATATAATATCTGTATAACAATACTAATATTAATAATACAAAATTAATTACTGTAATGTCGCATTCCACGTACACCACGACACAGACGACGCCATACAACGTTGTAACCAATTCAAAACGTCAATTGCAACCGATAAAACAGCTTATGCACTAAAAAAGGTAACAGAAAATATTTTGATGTATTTAATTAATATAGTGGACAGCAGACCTAAAAAATATAAATATATTTTAAATGACCAGTACAATACCGAAACTGATAAGTAAAACAAATGCGTACTTCCGTCAATACAGGGTGAACTTTTTCTAGAACTCGACATTTCGTACACAAATAATAAGGATACAGCATGTAATATTTTATTTCTAATTAGAATAAATAAAGAAATGCAAAGAGAAAAATAAGCGTACATTGCGTGTAAAGTCGCGTCTACGTACCTCGCAGGATCGTAAAGAGGATCAAGGAGAGTTTGTATATTGTCAAAATATCAGCCATGGTAATCTATAGGTTTTTTAATTTGTGAAGCAGTACACAACTGCACATTTAGTGCTGTATTGCTGTCAAGAAAACGGATGGTTGTTTTTTGACCGAGTCGGTTTTTCTCTGCATTAAGTCAGTCTCACTTTCGGTTTCATGTTGGTGCTAACCAATCGCATTAAATTTCCTGTAAAGTTAAATATCATGCACATACATGAGTGAAAGTAAATTAGTACTGGAGGTCACTTATGTGGTAAAAAAATATATAATAAGGCATACAATAACTTGAAATCGTATATTTGGAGTATTACTAAGTTTCGGCAAGAACAGCACTTTGCAAAGAAAGGCGTTTGTTGTCAGTGCACAACTTACGTCACTGGAGAGCGTCTGTTGCAGTGTACCACTTGCGTCACTAGACAGCGTCTGCTGTCAGTGTATCATATTGTCGCCAGAGGGCGTCTGTAAGCTGAAGATGAAGTTATACTAATACGGCAACTCTGTACATTAGCAGGGTTGCCAACTTTGCCCACCTAGCTGGAGTGAGATTTCCATTTCAAGTCTGCACATACATGGACACACATTTGCATGTATTTCAGAGTTTTATTACTTTGTAAATAGTCTATATAGTTTGCAAACTACCCCAGCGCTTTTGATATAGCTAATGTTAGGTTTATAATGGAATAACATAGATTCGCCTTAAGATATCTTGCGAGTCTGAAAGCGTGAATGTCATGCCACATCCGCGAGCAGGCAACCCAGCATCAGGAAATCGTGGAATGAGCAATAATGCAGCACTTTCTATTTATATTTTGATCCTGCTTATTAAACCACTGGAGAAGTAATACTGAAACAACTAAAACTGCTAATTATTTGTGTTTTAGTTGTTATTATCTGACACCCGTCCGATTTGCAGCACCGTCTTTGCGCATGTGTCAAGTACTTTTTTTTGTAAAGCGCACGCCCATGAAATACACAGCGTTTACATTTGATGTTTGTTAGATAGCATTTATGGCAATTTTATTATAAACTTGCTGCAAGTTACGTAGACATATGTCCTTCTCCCTCTGTTTATTCTCCTTTTAACGTACGCTGATTTTTATTCTCCATTAAGCATGTCAACTACCTGTCAGATGAGTAACCATTGTTGAAGCACTGGACCAGGATACCACAGCAAATCCATGAACCTTTAATCCAAGAGAATAGACTTGCTGAAAGAACCATGACTAAATTTGTATTACACAGCTGGATGCCCCTAGAGATTTGTCATGTTGACTTTTTTTCTTGGTTACTATTGGTTAAGATAGACTCACCCCGCCTAATATATATTTATAACTTTCTTGGTCCAAGAACTGCATAAACAACTTTGACAGACGAAGGCTTGTCTAGTAGTGACACTTTTCATTTTGATGCAAATCCAACTCTAATCCAGTGCTGATAAAAATGAGGAAAATTGCACTTTCTACACTTCTGCTTTTTAGAATTCACTCCATATTTTCATGTAAGTTTTAATGCATTTATTTTTTGTTTTTTAAATTTTACTATGGGGTGGTGTGTGACTGTGCAGGTTAGGATTCTGTACTCAGATGGTCACCAGTTTGAATCCTGTGTTGGGCTCTGAAGCAAAGAGCTTAACCTCAAAATCTGTTCCAGGGGCTTCTGACCCACAGCTTATCCATGAGCTCTTGTGTTTGTGTCTCATAGAAGAGTAAGACAGGGTAAATGAAACCTCAAGAATTCCTATGTGCCTGTGTTTTAGTTTTCATGATGGCACATGAAATGTGTGGGGAATATGTTTCTGTTTCTGTAAAATCTAATGTAGAAAATGCAGAAATCTTTAGTAGCTTCAGTATGGAAAAATATGTATTTTTATCTTGTGTAGCTTTCGGCACAGTTTAGATTGTAGAGTATGTAATCAGGTTTATTTTCTGTTGTATGTCCTGTTTTGATTTTGTCAGTTAGGTTTCAGCACAAGTTGTAGTATGAGGTGATATTCTCAAATGCTTTAATAATCGCTCTCTCAGGTGGAATATATGTTCTGCTTTTGCAGTGACCTACTCCCTTCGGTACGTCTTCACTGGCACGTCAGGCATCCCAGACTTCCCAGAGTTTGTGGGTGTGGGGCTGGTGGACGGGGAGCCCATCGATTACTATGACAGCAGAATAGGCAGAATGACCCCCCGTCAGGACTGGATGACCAAGGCTGTGGACGCTGATTACTGGGACAGGGAGACTCAGCATCTTCGTGGTGGAGAGCAGGTGTTCAAAACCAACATAGAAGTGGCAAAGCAGCGCTTCAACCAAACAGGAGGTAAGTGCTGCATGTTTACAGAAGTGAGCCTGACATTTTATACATTCGCTTGCTGTATTTAATTGTCTGGTTGCTTTTTAAAAGTACTTATTAATATTCATAGATTAAACTAGATTTCTCTTTTTTTCCTGAGAATTGATATTGTATACATACACAATAGCATATATATTAGAGTCTAAGAGTTTCATATGAATCGGTTTCATATGAAATTACTAAGCAATTTCTCATCAGAAGACAGATCTGTGCTCTGCTCATTTGATATTGTAACTCTGAAGATATAATTTTTGTGTAGGGGAGTTCTGAAATCTCTGCGTGACCATGGCATTTTACTTACAATTAAAGAGGAAAGGTGGCATCAAGAGCCTCTGTCCTTTATACACAGAGCTTATAGACTGACACTGTGCTCACAGACTGACACTGTGCTCACAGACTGAAACTATATCTCTGAGGTACATTGGGGGGGCATTTATTCTCTTAGGAAGCTGTGGATTCTGTTCAGTTTCACTTCATTTTTCCTTTGCCACTGGACAGATTTAATTGGAGCATTTAAAACGACTGACATCCCTGGGCTAAGGTGACAGTCAGACTGTGCCACTGACTGCAGAGTGCACAGGGACTAATGCATGCAGCTGCGTCAAAACCACCATGCCATGTGGTGACAAACAGGAAATGTATTTATCGATGACACTCTCCCTTCATTTCCCTCCATGGTAACCATGAGATCCTGTTTGACTGGGTCTCATCAGATGGTGGCCGTATGAACCTTGGCTTCTCTCCTTCATCCTGACAGTCTCACATCCCACAGGACGCAGTTCTCTGGGCTGCTCAGTACACAGTGACACAGGACGTGTAGTTGGGGGTGAGAGCAGTGAGCTCAGCCCTCAGAGTGACACTGCTCTCCACAGCATCTTTCACAAGTCAGAGCAGAAGGAGCAGGAATCGCTGATGGAGGTGGAGCTCTGCAAAGCTGCAGATTAGCTTTTCTCTCCTGGATTTGGGGACAAAAGACTCACCGAAGCTTCTAGTAGCTGGTTCCCACCAAAGTTTCCCTCTAGATCAGTGTTTCCTAATCTGGTCCTCAGGGACCCACAGACAGTCCACGTTTTTACCGGGAGCTGAGCACCGGATTGGGAAACACTGCGTGGGAAATAGGCGGAGCTTGAAATCTCACAGTAAATGATGAGAGTCTCAGGGCCGAAGCTGTACCAACCTATGCTGAACCCAGAATGGCAGATGAACATCGTCGCCATTCACTGTTACTCATTTTAATCAGGAAACGTGCAGCAGGCGGACCTGAAACCGCTCACGCCAGCACCTGTGTGACTCATTTCGGTTCACTTATGGACGCCATATCTAGCTGTTCAAAAAGCCACTCGGCGCACTGGTCATGTGATGTGTGATTTTCATAATGATGAGACTCATTACTCATTAGAGCACAGCTGACTGTAGCCATCTGAACCTGGCAGAGTCAGTCTGCTGTAACCCTGCTAACCCACTCTGCAGCCTTTCATAATAACCAAATTCACTTTTAATGCACCTCCTTTAAACTCCTGCACACAATGTGTACACAGTTCCTCCATCTCAGAGAGTCTAAAGGCAGCAGCTACTTGCTTGGTTCTCAATTTGCGCGTCGTCCGCCTCGTTCCCCGAGACCCAACAGCTGGCGGCTCTGAGCGTGACCCAGCATCCCGTAAATAAAAACCGCTGCCAAAGGCAGAGTCTCTGCTACGGCCGCAGAGAAGCTCCGTCTGACTCTGCATCATCCAGCTGGCTCACATGTCCTGCTGTCGGTGGTCCTGGTGAAGCTCTTCTCAGGACTGATCGCTCCCAATGTGGCTAAAGTCTCAGAGCCCAGCTCTCCTGCCTCTGCCCTGAAGCAGCTTCTCTCCATTGCCTCCCTCCTTTACTCAGTTTTCTCCCTGTTTTCTGGGACAGCTGCTCAGCACCCCTGTACATGCCCCTGGTGGACACCGCTGGTATTGTACTTAGAGTTTTTTATATATATAAAACAGAATAGGATGATATTCTCTTTTTGCCTGCCCCATCCTGCTCTCCATGAGACACAAACACAGATGAGAGCAAACTTGGGGTTCATGCCACAGGGCAGCCGCACATGGAGCTGGGGGTTAAACCAGCGACCTTTGGACCTCAGGCTGAGCCACACACCGTCCCGTAACATCTTCACCTGTCATGGACTGTTTTGGCAGGCATACACACAGCCCAGATGATGTACGGCTGTGAGCTGGATGGTGACGGCACCATTCGGGGGTACAATCTGCAGGGGTACGACGGGGAGGATTTCATCAGCCTGGATCTGAACACTCTCACCTGGACGGCGGCCAACCAGAAGGCTGTAATAACCAAGCTGAAGTGGGACCCTAAGTATCAGCATATT